TTCCCACCCTCTGTGCCTTTTACAGCAGCAGCAGGACGAAGGGCTGGAGGGTTGGTGTGCTCAGGGAAGCCCTCAGTGCAGGCGTGCTCCACGGATCTCTTCTTTCCCATCTGTCCTCAGTTTCTGAAGGCAAGGTCTTCCTTCATAAGCCTCAGTCCCTGAGCAAACACACAGTAGATGGGATGGCTGAAAACCTGCCTACATCCTCAGGAGTTGCACAAGAGCCTCCCAGTGCCTCCTTCCTGATAAGGATTCACTTGCACTGAGTGCTATTTTCCAATCCACTGATCTTGTCTCAGGAATTTACTTCAGTTGGAGAGCAATTATCCTTATCTCTGAAAATGACCATGATAAACTCATCCACAACTGGTGATTTTTTTTAAGTGGAAAAATACCTCTATTCTGAAACACAATAGTTCCAGCTAGACACAAATTGCTATTCAGGCTGCCAAAAGCAGAACGCAAATCATAAAACATTCACAACGAGGCTGCTTGCTACCTGAGCTACATTTATCCAAGGAACAGCACTGCTCTGGCAGTGCATGGGGAAATGGAAACAAGTAGGAAAAAAATAATAAAAACTTGACAGTAAGATCTTTAAATATGTTTTATTAAGCCCTTCCTTGTTTGGGGCATTTTTATTATGAGGAAATAGGAAATACAGAAATTAAATCTCCCTCTGTTGCTCCTGCAGTAAATGACAGGATAAGATCAATGTTTGGAAAGAGACTGTATAAAGACTATAGTCTCTATCAATCTCATCCTTTCCCTTGGTAACAGTATTTAATTTACACTTTCTCAGCTGAGTAATTACCTCTACTTTACACTTACTATTCCTTTAGGAGTGGGTAAATTAGCATTTGCCACAGCAGCTTCAATAGGTCTGCATGTGGCTGGAGAACTCTTCAGTGTACAAATGGGATCTATGACGTGCACTCAGTTTGAAGACAGAAGTGTTTCCACAGCAGAGTGGCGCGGTGTGGCACAGAGCAGAGGATGGTGAACCCCTGTGCAGCAACAGCCACCAGCCCTGCTGGGGCAGGTACCATCTGCTGGGCTCAGCTCCCCAGAGCCACCAGTGTCCCCTTGGGCCTTTTGCAGGGCACTGGGGGTGACCGCAGCAGTGCCCACTCCCTCCCTTGGGGCTGTGAGTGCTGGGCTGCTGCAAGGAGCCATGGGCCCAACCACACGTAGCACCCAGGTAATCAGCAAAACTGCTGCTCGAGGGAAGCTCAGAGCAGCTTTCCAGTATCTAGAGGGGGGCTGTAAGAAAGAAGGGGACAGACCCTTTAGCAGGGTTTGCTGTGTCAGAGCAAGGGGAAATGGTTTCAAACTAAAGGAGGGGAGATTTAGACTGGATATAAGGAAGAAGCTTTTTCCACTAAGGGTGGTGAGGCACTGGCATAGATTGCCCAGAGAGGCAGCGGTGCCCTGACCCTGGAGACATTCAAGGTTAGGATGGAGCAGGTTCTGAGCACCTGATGGAACTGTAGGTGTCCCTGTTCAGTGCAGTGGACTAGATGGCCTTTAAGAGTCCCTTCCAACTCAAATGACTCTATGATTCTAAAACAGTAGTGAGGAAGAAATCCTGAAAGAAATGGCAGTTTGCTGGAGAACATGAGTGAAAATGCTAAATAGATAGCTTTGGCTGGAGGTTGTGAAACACAGTGCTATAGCACATCTCATTGTACACACCTGTGCCTGACAGCAGCAGCAGCATGCAGACAAATCTGGCCCAGCCCAGCCTCCAGCTGACATACAGATGGACAATGAAGCACAAAAGGAGAATGCGCATGAAAAGGCAAAATTAATCCGAGCACCTACTCCATGTTGTTTCTATCATAAGATTGCAGAAGAGGCAGCAGAGACTTGGGAGATGAAAGCTCAGCTGCATATAATACTGGAGTGAGATACATAAAATATAAGTCACAAAGCCAAGGGATTAACCAGAGGCACCAGGGATCCAACCACTGAGATCTGATGCCAGGACACAGCTAATAGGAAGGGGAAAAAAATTGCAATAGCCATCTACTCTAGGATGAATTTTTAGAATGTTTCTGTGAAGACCCTTATACTTCTCTAAGCTCCAGGGAGAAAGAAATACTAAAATAAATAACACAGTATGTAGAAAGTCCCCAGAGCCACAAAAAAATCTATCACTTGGGGACTTGGGAACCCAAATAAACACAGGGGAAAAAAAACCAATTAAGATGAAATTTTAGTAAGTGTACTGAAGATTTCAAGGAAGGACAACCTAAAAAAAAGCAAGTCCACCCCCACACACAGACTGATGAGAAAAGCAGGAGAAGTCAATTAAGTGCACAAAGAACCCAAGCAATCCCCTAGGCCAGCCTGCTTTGCAGGGCAGCCAATGCTGGGCACACACAGCCTGGGGGCTCCTGCATCCCCATGCAGCCGTGCTGGAGAAAGTCCTCCCCAGAGCTGGGGAGGCTGGCTGCTAATGGGGCTGGCTCACATTGCAGCCCAGAGAGCTGGGCCTACCCGCATCCCTGGTAGGGCTGCCTGTGTGCAGCCTCCAAGGGGAAGCTGAGTGCAGCTGGAGGCGTGGCAACACTTTGTTATGATAGCAGCAGCCCTGCTGGGGAACAGCAACACGGCCATGCAGGTTTTAAAGATGAGAGGAAAAGGTATTTGGCAATTTGAGCAGATTACACCACTTCGTAGTTAGAAATAACATGCACAAAATTTATGCTTTCATTCTACATCTGCAGGCAGAATTAATCTTCCTTTCAAGGCTGACTAATGTCTTCACTTGCCCTCTATCACCAGCTCAGGAATCACCAAAGAGACAGAAGATGTATGTGTTTTATTACATGGAACATATGGATCTGCTCACATGAGTCACAACCACATCAATTAAAAGAACACCACCACCACAAGTGAAAATCCAGCAGTCCCTAGGCATGAGCACTGCAACTAGTCAGGTCCAGGGAGACTTCTGCTTTTGGGAAAGGATCTGCAGCTCCCTCACAGCACACGGGCATCACTTTTTGTTGCTATCCAGCAAGAACCTCAGCTAGTCCTGTGCCAGCAGTTCCCACAGATGACAGACTGAAAGCATCCTAGGGAGACTCCAGAATGTGGCAGTTAGTTCTATAGAAGAGCTCTTTCACCCCAGAAGTTTTTTTTAAACTCTATTGCTGAAAATTTAGGGATGTTTCACCAATGTCTCATTTTTGAGAAGGGGAAAAAAAAAGCAATTTAAGTAGACTGGATTAAAATATCATCAAAGATAGGTTCTTGTTCACTAACTCAGACCTATGTATAACACAGCCTTGATGCACAGCTCAGAAGAGATGTTGTGGTAGGCTGCAAGAAATGAGGGAAGAGCTTTAAGCATAGCCTGGCAGCATAAATGCGAGTGCAGGTGAACTCAGTGCACAATCTAGGCACCTACTTTTCACCACTCACATTTCACAGAGCAAACACAGGTGTTATTCTCTCATTCAGGTTAGACAAACTGGAAGGCTGGAACCAGTTTACCCTTTGGATCATCAGTCAGCCAGGCCTAGGAGATTCATCTTTCACACAACAAATGTATCTAGATGTGAAATAAAACAGGCATCTATGAAGGGAAGGTAGCACAGAGGTAAGGCTTTAAACTATCCATCACATCACATTTGACAGCCTCCATCTGTTAATGACATCCCTCTGCATGGTATGTGTGTGCAGCCAGTGTTTTCTCATTTCAAGGCACTGGGTTCAAACTGCCTCCTTGAAAGCTGCCTGGCTTACAACTGTAATGCAGTAAAGTTCTGCAGGTAGAACTGATTTGTAGAGCATTGTTCTGGTGAAATCAAGACATCAAGGTCTGACTTGGATTATGGCTGCTTTCACTGACTATGAAGTCAACATTTACGGTAAAAACATATGTGAAAGAGAAAGAAGGGGCTATCATCTCCATGCATGGACCTCATACCCCTTTTATTTGGTAAACAAGGCATGCTGCTTACATGGGGACCTAGAGCCTCAGTTCTTTCTCGAATCTACCACCTCCTATCCCCCTTAAACTTCTTGAGTAGATGGACTAACATGTATAAAGGCTATCTAGGTAACCCAGGAAGAAATATCACTGTCTAGGGAGTAATCAGTATTCTCGACTCGGACTGCAAGTATTATACATTTGAGTTCTCATGAGAACATTTTGTGCCACATCTTGAAAATGGAGATATTACTCTTGATTTGATGAAAAATGAATTGAAAATATGAGCTGTATACGTGCTAATTTATAGCGATGAAGTTTGCATTCATTACTGTAATGAGCACTGCATAAAGCATATAATCAACATTCACTGAAGATGTCAAGAGGAATCCAGAGGCAGAGAGGAAATGCGTACACTTGCCACAGTTGATCATAAACATCATCAACTTCCAGCCCCCAAAAAAACTCAAAGCAGGAGGCAGTCCTTTCTCTGTACTAGTCCTCAGTGGTGTTCAAATGCATCTACCCAGTTCTTGTACTAATGAGCTTAGACAGCCTTTCAGCCATAGGATAAATATTACAGCAAGTGCTGTAAATGTTTGTGTAGGATGCACACTGTGCCCTAGAAGCATAACCATCTCACTCCTTCCTCTAGTAAAAGATGAAAGCTACAAATATGATTACATTCAGCTGGTAAACGGAGAATCCAAACAGATAAATAATTAAATCCAGTTTCTTTCCTGTACAGTAAAATGTTTCTCTGACATTGCATTAGAAATGAAGAAGAGAAAATAATGAAAGGAAATATCATTATCTGAAATAAAGTTAAAACACAAGAAAAAGCCATCCACAGTCTGCAAAATCAAAATAAGGCAAGCAATAGTGGAACAGTAGCTGTGGAGTCATATGAAAGACTAACCACCTTCAGTAAGAGCTAAAAGAAGGTAAATGGAGATTTGCTTGACTTTTGTGTGGAGTGAAAATAAGGAAAGAGACATGCCACTGCAAGTAAATGTTACACAGACATCTACACATCTACACTGGAAATAGTTCTTACCTTCTGGTAATCTGGGGTTAGCGTGAATAGAGTTGGGGTCCCCATCTTCCTCAGGATGGTAACGATAGAGTGTCTGTGACTGCTTTTGGGATGACTGACTACGGTCTTCCTTTAGAGCAACAGGGGGAGAGGTTGTTGCACTGAACTTTACCTTGGGAAAGGCATTTCCCTCATGTGTTTCGTGGGAAGATTTTGCTGAACTTGGCTCTGTTAAATTCACCTCTTTCAAGTCTAGATGAATACTGTTCCCCGGGTCTTCTTTTCTGGCGTGCTTTTTCATTTTAGAATGGGGTGCTCTTTCGTGTTCATTCCTTTCCTTGTCCCCCTGCTTCCCCTTTGGCCTCCTGTCCTTCCCCAGCTGCTTGGGTGTCTCGGTTGTGGCTGTGGTGTGCTCCAGAGGAGCAATGGTTGTTACTGGGGCTTCCTTATGCGTTGTTTGCTGGGGAGGTGCTGGAGTGGTGCTGGGCACCCTCTTTCGCTCAGTTCTTTCTGTGGCACTGCGAAATTCAGAGAGGAGCTTCGGTGCTGGTGTGGTGAGTGGAGTGGTTGTTTCCTCAGCATATGTATCAGCCACAGCTGAACTTGAAGGAGCAATGCTGGCTGGTAGGTAGTCGTAATCCTCGCTTTGCTCTTGGCTGATGCTCTCCTGCTCGAAATGGGAAGAATAGCTCCTGTATTTTTTTGGAGATTCCACCTGGGTGTTGTCTCCTTCCGGTGCCTCCTGGTCGTAGCTGTACGGATCGTCGTAGTGCCTCTCTGGTTCATTGTCTTCAGCATCCATGGGACTCACGGTGTTTAAGGCAAACGTGTTACAGTCGGGAAGCTGGTAGCACATCAGCTCACCGCCAGCGTTTGGACAATGGCAGACCTTGCACGGGGGCATGTGGAAAGTGTGCCCTGCTACGTATTTCTGCCCCTCGTGGAGGCAGCCTATTCTTCCACACTGAGGGCACCCGTCCGCTGGCACCACTGCATCAATGCAATTTGGAGGCAACTCTGGGCACAGCATGAACTGGCAGCTGATCTTACCCCCTCCCTTAGGGCACGAACACTCAGTGCTTCCAAAGTCCACAAAGTAAGACTGGCCTTCGGGTACTTTGCCATTGACGAAGCCCACGTTGACGCAGTCATAGTACTGGTAGCCTTCACACGTGCAGCCGTGCTGCAGACACGTGGCACAGCACTCACCGGGCTCCAGCACGTCGTCGATGCAGTTGTCCAGGGGCTGGCATTCCACACCTGTGCAGTCCCTCTGTGCGTGGGAAACGCCGCTCCACAGCAGCATGAAGAAGGCAGCATTCAGACAGCTCCGCTGCCAGCTCTGGTGCCTATCCATAGTCTTCCCAAAAACACAGCTCCAGTCCAAAGGTGCACTTTTAAGCGTTGCTGGTTTCTTTTCTAGAAGGCTGTATATTCAGCTCCAATTCCGCAGCGTTTTCCCGAGTTACCTTTTCTCATAGACCCTAGAATTATGAAAGAAAACTCTGTTAAAGACTACACTCAGCACATATCCTGTTAAACATTAGAGGTCTTTAAAAGTTGGGATGAAATCCAACATCTGGAAACCTAAGTATGAAATTAATCATAAAGTCTTCCAAGCATTGTAGGCACTAAGTTTGGAGTTACAAGCTCTTCCCCCTCCCCCCCCACCCTACTCCAATGCCTATTTCTAAAAAGAAAAAAGGCTTTTACTATTCTATTTTTAATCTGCTCAGCATATATATGCATATTAAAATAAAAATAAGGTCTTTATACTTCATGTCCTTTTGTTAAATCATTCTTTCTAGGAAAAGGAAAAAAAAAGAGATTTTTTTGGCAGATAATAAACAAATAGACAGTTGCTCCTCTGTAGATGCAAATTTAAGATATTTAATCTCTTTGTTTTAGTTACAAAGATCCAAATCTTAAGGATCTTTCATGGCCAAAACTCAGCCTGAGAATTTGTCTGTTAACACATATGAACTTGAAATAACAAGAGTTCTGCCTCCTTCCTCCATTTAGCAATCATTTGCACTTCAGTTTTCAGCATTAACAGTTATTTTCTTGCCCCAGCGGTGCTAAAATAGAACTTCTTTGTATACTGCTGTTACCGAGTGGTTAAACATCATATTAGCCATCCTGTAATACATATTAGAGGCCGGATCCTCAGCTCAAAAGTTGGCTCAGCTCCACAGCAGGCCTGCAGTGCACGGGAGATTGATTGCATACACTGGAGTTACAACCAATGCACAACCACCAGGCGTTTGCTCCAGTTCAGGATACGCCACCAGTGGGAACCGCTTCTTTTCTTTGTGACAGCACGACTGTTCCTTTATACAGAACTGCTACGCTGTGAACAGAATGGCTATTTAAAAATCAAATGAATCGGCACGATAAAACTTTGCTAAAATGGGTTGAGGAAAAGAAAGTTGTTGTTATTTAATCATTCAGTCCTTTGACCGTGGAAAAGTCTAAGGAAATAATCTGTTGGCCTTTACATCAAAAGCATGCTCAAAATGCTATACTCCTAGCATGGAAAAGTAGATAAAACAGAAAAAAAAAGTTTGTGTATAACATTTTATAGAATTTACAATCTGATTATTTTTCCAGAACCCCTCCCAAAAAAAAGAAGAAAAAAAAAAGACCCTAAAACTTTTATCTAGCGGGTTAAATGTAGACACATCACCAAGAACAATAAACCACACACGCAACAGGAATCCTGCCAGAAAATCCATTCAGAAAGATTACTTCTCCCATTCAAACCGGGCTTCCAACAAGTCTGCTTAGGCACTGCTGGAAAGCAGCCAGGCCGTGGGAAAAGCGTGCCTGTTCTGATAAGATATGGACAAACTGTGCTGAGAATTTCCACAGCTCCGTCCTGGAATCTGAATTACTTCAGTACGTCGTACAGAGATGCAGTTCTTATAAATGAAAGGTTTTTACTACTATTTGAGTATATTAGTTCAGCATGCTAACGGACACCAACAATGAGAAATAAAAGCTTCAGAATGTATGCTAGTGGCTTGGAAGAAGCTCACTTTTTCAGAACTGCTCCCAGAAGTAGGATATTTTGTCCAAGGGAGTATTTTGCAATAGGTGGTGCTGAAATTAATTTTTCAGGGTGCAGTCTGGGAATCAATAATTTATCCTACTTCCAGCAGCTTCTGTGGGTAATCAAAGTGTGTAATTATTACCTTGCTTTAGCCAGGGAACAAAGAATGGAAGGACAGTTAAAAAGAAGCTCCCTCAGTAAGGTTCCCACAGCAGCATTTTGTCATCTTTCCCTCCCGTCGGTACCTCCTGGTGTTAATGCTTGGGCACATGGAAGTCAGTTCTGTTCCTGTGGGATCACTGCTGGTGCAGCTGTGCCCAGCCCTGCCTGCTGCTCCTCTCCCATCCCAGTTCTTTCCAGGTGCTTTGGATGTCACGGCCCCACATTTGGCCATGCATGCAGGCAGGGCACTGGTTGCCACTGCTTGTATGCAACATCCACTTTTTACATCTGAACAGCAACTGCTCATGGTCCAAGAAAGAAACTCCAAACAAGAAACCCCCAAATTAGCTTCTGTCTTGAGGTAAGAAGCACAAAGCCATTGATCCCGCCTGTGTAGAAGTTCAAGGACTGCTGAAGATTTACCAAAATAAACCTAGGAATAGCAGATTGTTTCCCCCTCTGCATTCTTCCCATCACCTCACAAATACAGTCCCATTTTCCTGAAGGACCTCCCTCACTGCCCTACCTGGACCAGCTACCTCCACCTCCTTGCTGCCCGGGGGTTTGCATGCTTGCCCAGGCACCTCCAGCTTTTCCTCTGTTATCTCCTTGCTCCCTATCCTCTCACACAGAGGGCTGGAATGCTCAGGGCCATGATGAGCATCATCTCTGCTTCCCACCTTCCATACTTGCTGCTCAGTGCCTTGTTCAGTCACTCAGATACCCTGTATCCTTTCTTGTTTGATACCCTGAATATTCAGTTTTCAAGCTACCAACCTCAAACTGATAAGGCCCAAATCCTTACAAAGCCTTTTTTCTGTTGATAACATCACAATTTTCCTTATCCTCAAGCTCATTTTCTTTCATCAGAGACTTCTTGTTTCTGACTCCAACAAAAGCATCTCTTTTTATTTTTTTAAAGTACTGCCTTTTCCCTGTACTTTCTCCAACCTGCTCCCCACCCCATGGCTCCCCTCCGTGAACCCATAAACTTGCATATCATAGAAGCAGCCTCTATGTCAGGCACAGAGAAAAAAAATGGAGTGAAGCAGACAGACACAACTATTGAGCACTACAGAGAAAATGCTCCCACCTGAGCGAGAGAGCCCTGCCCAACCCACAGAGCAGATGTGGGACAGCCTCTGGATCCTTGCTGCTGGAAGGGGCTGTAGGGACAGCAGTTAATTACTAGCTAACGGCATCAAAAGCTAGAGCTGTGAAATCATAGTATCATACAATGATTCCTCAGCTCGTTCTTTCCACACGATACCTAGGAAAGGCAAAGCAATACACTCTATAGCAGCTTTAAAGAAGTGAGATTTCAGATGAACACGAAGGACAAGCACATGTCTTCATGGAAAAGAAAATGAAAATGCCTCACGCTGCAGATGAAACCAGTACATGTGCACCATGACCTCGAAGGCTAACATCAGCAGCCACCAGAACTGCAACTAACACTTTGATGCAGACAGAAAGTTACAAATGCTGAGATTTCTGCAAAACAATATACTCAAAGTATGATTTTCTTGAATCAAAGTCATAACATAAAGTCAAAATGAAGAATGTTGACTTGATTAAAACAGTTTGGTATTACTTGAAAATGCTGATGAAACCAATGTGTTCCACACAACATCCAGACATTTCAAACGTGCAACATCTTTAAATTATGAGGAGTACTTTACTGGGAGATTTTTGTCCAGATGGTTTCATTTCAGTGCTAAACCATAAGGCTCACTGTAGGTAAGCAGAGGTGACAAGAGGTGCTTTGCTTCAAAGCCTTCACAGGAACATGATCGTTCCTGGTGAATGTTGTTCCTGAGACAGCAGAACGACTGCAGAAGGTGTGCATGTGTGAAAGAGATACTGCAGGATCAAGAGCATTCTTTCAAACGTTCGTGGGAAAAAAAAAAAAGACAGAAGTTTATAAACAAAAAGCAATAAGCAGAATAAATTCAGCCCACTGCAGAGAACACCTACACGAGATCCCACTGATGTCCAGTTTTGAAGAAGCATCTGTGATTTAGCCAGTCGTAGAGCTTTGCAAACAGTGTATGCAGAATTATTGTTCTATCTATCCTACCTCTATGTTCCTCACTAAATGGCTCTTTGCTGGAATAGTAAGACCAGCAGTAATGTTCTTCTATGCATTTTCTCCTTTTGAGCAGCATGCAGGGCCAGATGCAACCAAATGAAGGCAGAAAGTGGCAGACAATTGCACAACTTGTCCTGCGCTGTGCCAGGGAGCACAGTCCCTCCAGGGAAGAGCTGGGAGTGAGCTGCTCTGTTTTTCTGTCCATCTATACAGCCAGGTCTCATGCATATAGAGAAGGAAGCCCACATGTGCACTAATATGGTTAGACAGCAAGAAGGGAATGCAGTAGTGGCACTCACCACCTGTGCACAAATCAAGACAGTAATGCTATCAAGGATTCTCCTGGTCCCCTGGTGCTACCCAGTACAATTTGGCTCGAGTTGCACAAAGCCATGACCAAACAGCCCCATTCTCTGATGCTGAATTTCTTCCCTATCCCATTGGTAAGAGCATTGCAATAGGTACAGTAGAGGCTGAAGCACAAATGCACACCCATACTGTACATGCAAGGCATTTTGCCTGTGTATTTAGCACCTCTCCCCAGCCAGACCTTGCTGCTCTGCTGCAGCTGCCAGCAGCTCTTAAATAGCTGCAGTCATAGCTTAGACTATGAGTGGAAGAAGAGAGGGGATGGAAGGAAGTATCAATTTTAAAACAATCCTTTTAAAATGCAGGAGAAAAATGGAAATTTGTGAGAGGTTTTTCTTGTATGAAAAACAGAAAAACCCTAAGCCCAGTAACTCCTGGCTGGGCTGTGCCAGCCCATGGATTAGCCCTTCCTTTCACACCCTTTCAATCCGGAAACTTGTGATCTCACCAGGCACTGGAAGTGATTGCTGCTGGCTGCTCCCAGCCCATCTTGCTAGCAGAGGTAACTACAGTGCTATTCAGCAGATGGATGAATGAAAAGCAAAGATTTCCTTTACTGCTCTTATGCAACATACAGTGTGCAGAGCCATTCCCTTCTGCCTAATTAATGAAACCTGAGATGAGCTGGGGCCAACCTCCTCATTTGGGGCAGCTGGGCTGGGTGAAAAGACAAGTACCATAAACCCCAAGTGAAAATTCAATTTGAAGGAGCTGCCCTTTTCTTATTGAAAGTAAAGCACAAGATACTTAGTCACTTCAGAGTTGTCAACGCTCCAGTTCTTGGCAAAATCAGACAGTTTTCAAGAGTC